CTCACAGTTGACAGAAAGATTGATCCCCCCTGTCCCCGTTCAGCGGCAAAATTTTGAGAAACGTAGTGGAGAATAGGTAGTTTGTGAAGAGGTGTAATGTCGAAGAGAAATTTTGGAAGGGGAGGGGGTTGTTCGATCGCAAATGTTTACCACACACATAACGCGATGATGTGGATTGTTGTTATTTTGAGCTGTAATGCAATTACGAAAGGATTCCCCCCGATCAAGTTAGCAAAACAGGGTGCAGAGTCGTCGAAAGAATCCCATCAGGGATCGGTCGCTGGCGGGTGGTTGTAATGAGTCGGTGGGGAACGTACTTGGCTTAGAGAGGAATTTTTCCTGCCTGCGGAAGAATTTTTTTCACGTTGTTGTCTTTTCGCGAGTTTTCCACCCCGTCCTCCCCTCATCTGCCCTCTAGATCCCGCACGCTACAGAACTTCTGTTGAACCACTTTACAATAGTTATTTTTGAAAGTTGATTGATGGCGACCCCCTCCTCTCCCTTTTATGGAGGTCAGTTTTTTTTTAAGAAGAAGAAGGAAAGAAATTGGGTAATATTGGGGAAAATTGGGAGTTGGGAGAATCAGGGAGGATGGTAGGTAGGATGAGGAAAGGGGAATCCCTGCGGGGGAGTGGATCGTATTTGCTTGTCTCTGAGTGAGGGGGGTCGTATCCGGCCTCGAGAAAAAACTGGGTAGTTCGTGGAATCGGGAAGTATACGGCCAAGACATGATTCACCAGATAAGGAAATGAATAAAGTGGCTAGAAAGCGTCGACAGATGCACGAGAATGAAGCGGAGCGCTGTGAGCTCTACCGAGCGGAAAAAGGGAATCGCTGGGCCGGAGGTTCCTGACATCCCTGCTAATTATGAGAAGCGCGTAAACAAGCAGAGTACCACTTAAGGGAGCTCGCGAGCAAGAATTTTCAACATCAAACGGAAGTTGCTACCCTGGCGCTCTCAATGTGAGTGCGAAATAGCGCTCAAAAAGTGCTACATGAGCTCATGTGGGGTTAGCTTCATTTCCCATCAGACAAGGGGATCGCTCCTCAGAGGATAAAATCCGAATC